CTTTCACTCAATTTCTCTCCATCTTTCCTTACAATTGGCTCTTGTTGGCTATTTTTATGATTCTTAATATCTTTCATTTAAGGATAGGTTAATGGAATTGTTCAACCCATTTGTCAATACTTAAAAATTGAGTAGGTTTGAGAAGCTTGGCCATGTGGCTTAGTACTTCCCTTATGGATTTCATTGAACTATTTTAATGATGTCTCCGACCAGCATCACTGACATGCACTTTAACACATTGTGATCTGGGAGAGTTTGTGGTGCGTGAGTGGGACATCAGAGTGACAGCAGTTCCCCAGCACTGTGATTCATAATCAGCATGGGCTCTGTCACTTTAAATAAAACGGAGAATTCCAGTTTGTTTGTTCACTAATCCATTTAGCAGAGTTAGGAACCTTTATTTCCTTTACGCGTGTGAGAGAAGAGGAGAGCGACCCTATAGAGAAAAGTCACTACAGCTCCTACAATCCCGGGAGTATAGAGGTCAGTGCAGTCTCACTGCAAGGCACTAAGCAAGCAAGTCACACAGTCAATCAAATTATGCTCAGAAGTTTCCTTTCCTTTTTGAGAACATGATCATTTCTAAAGCTGTTGAAGTATTTTTTAAAATTATATATATTTCTAAAACCAGATATATAAAAGCAGGGTAAAACACAAATTGCTGACAGTTGTGACCACCCACACAGATTCACACCGAAACGAGACTGATACTCCTGTAAGTCCTTGGCGTAGCAACTTATCAGACAGCTCCTTCAAACTAGCTGTGGGAAAGGAAGAGCTCCTCCACCTACCTGCAGAGAAGGAGGGACGTCACCGCCAGCTGTTTGTTAATTATGGAAACTTGCATTTTAAGGACAGGTTCTAGCACAGTGGTTCTCAACCTTCTGGCCCTTTAAATACAGTTCCTCATGTTGTGACCCAACCATAAAATTATTTTCGTTGCTACTTCATAACTGTAATGTTGCTACTGTTATGAATTGTCATGTAAATATCTGATATGCAGGATGGTCTTAGGCGACCCCTGTGAAAGGGTCGTTCGACCGCCAAAGGGGTCATGACCCACAGGTTGAGAACCGCTGGTCTAGAATTTCACAGTTCAGCACTGCAAACAAAAACAGACCTGTAGAGCTCAATTTTACTGACAGAAATGGAGATAGGGCTTAAATGGATTTTACTTCATAGCAGTAGAATAAGGGGCGTATAAAAATATTCTTCCACAACCTCATACGCATCTGAAAATCATTTCCATTATTTGACTTCCTGAGCTCAGACCCCTTCCTCTGGAAGGGACAGCTCAATTTTGCCTTGTGGTTAGTAGGCAAACATGAAACATTTGAACCGAAATGAATAGGCAATTCAGCTTGAGGAGGAGTTTCACAGCGAAGATAAACGAATTAGATTAATTCAATACTCTGTTCTCATTACTATAGCCTGTGTGAGAGAGAGACTGTGGGTATGTTTGTGTCTGTAGGAACAGTTTTAAAAACCTGACACTTAACATTGTTGTAATGTTCAGGTTCTCCCCTCAGTTGAAAACTTGAATTTTTTGTATCACTGACTGCACTTTTCACTGGTCTGCCTCAGAGAGCAGCGTGCTAGTGACAGTCGTTATGCCGCATCGTTTGCAGTGCTCGTGGGGAGGTGAGGGAGTTTGCTCTGCATGTTATATGAACCCTTCAATAGCAATGAACCTTTCCATAACTGGCTTTGGCCATTATTTCTGTTAGAGAATATTACGTTTTCATAGACTCCCCCCCCCTAAATTTCATCTCTAAAAGTAGGTAATTTGATTGAACCCTCTTTTATTTCTTTCTAGTATCTTCCCACAAATTAACCTGGTTAACTGAATACTAACAGGTCACTGAGGAATGCCAGGTGGAGTTAGTCCTCTATTTTGTGTCTCCCTTTCTAGGCCCTGGAATTGCCCTGCCCTTACCAACTGTCACGTGGTGCCCTTGGAAGGAGTACACAGTGAATCCATGTCCAGATTTTAGAATGATGAAAAGTCAATCTTCAAACTGTAGCCTAATATTACTACCTGTTCACATTAATATGACACACAATACTCTGATTTAAATAGTTAAGATGACTAATCAAAAAATTAATTTTAGGTATAAAATCAATAGCAAACAGATAGAAATCCAATTAGGCATTTAATTAACACAGTTGACACTCCAAGATGAGTTATCCCTAGTCACGAGTCTCAGAATTTACTCCTAAAATACTTTCTTGTCTCTGTAACAGAAAGTGACCGCTTAAGAGCGTAGGGGATTTGCTGTTTTCCTGTTAGCCTCGGTGCGGGCCAGGCTTCTCTTCGTTTAAGCGCAGCGGCTGACTGAGCAGCGAGCCCACGCGGCCTGTTCCGCTGGACCTCACCAGGCGGTTTAGGTGGAAAGAAGGAAAAGAGAAATAGGCGTGGGGCCACTGGGTAACCGTGGCAAGCATTTGCTTTTCTCGGCCGCGCCCTGCGACACATCCATTAGGTGCAGTAGGCACAATGCCTAAGGCCCAGGATACCTTTTGGGGCTTATGAATGTTTTACTTTTTGCAATCAGCAAGTTACATACTTTACCTGCATTGGTATAAAGACAAACACAGTGCATAATGTATTCATTATTATACCAATGCTGTCATAAAATCAAATTTTTAATATGCATATCTATTTTTTTTATGTTGGAAAGACCCAAGAGTGCCTGGGGCCCTTGAAAGTCATAATGTGACCCTGTGTCTGGTTCCCCATCCCCGTCCTTTGTAAAATGAAGGTATTGAATGGGGTGACCTGCGGCTCAGCGAATGCCTCTGCCAAGTGATGTGCTGCATCTCTCACCTGCCTGGAGGAAATGGCCTCACTGATCAGACGCTGGGATCAGGACAGGTTAATATATTTGTATTGATTTCAGAGAGGAAGGGAGAGGGATAGAAACATCAACGATGAGAGAGAATCACTGATTGGCTGCCTCCTGCATACCCTTACTGGGGATCGAGCCCGCAACCCAGGCATATGCCCTGACCGGGAATCAAACCGTGACTTCCCGGTTCATAGGTTGATATTCAACCATTGAGCCACAGAGCTGGGCTGTTTTTCTAATTTTAGTCAGCAAGAAATGGTTCTACAGCAGATGACAAGAAAATGCTTATTTTGCACCAGAGGGAAACAAGAGTGAAGCACGTGACTCATGGAGAATGTGTCTGTGTCTTCCTCCCAAAGGCTCATCTGGAGAGTGTCCAGGTATGTGAGTAACAAGAGGGCAAAGGCATTCCACCAAGCGCGCTTTGGTCAGCAGCAAAGGCTCTTAGTCGCAGCTGCACATACCGAACGGGTTGTGCAAACCTCACCTGAAAATAAGTTTGAGTTGAACACTCGGATTTCTCTAAGAGTGGCTCAAACAGCAGCAGACAGGAGCCATCCTTCCTGCCACCCAGCACCAGTGCCTGCGCGGGTGCCCGTACCTCAGGCAGGTCGGCATCCGCTGGGCACCGCGTCCTCGTGCTTGTCGCCAATCACAGGAGGGCGGGGTTTACCACCCTGCCCAGAAATAGGGGCACCCTCCAGGTTTCTTCATAGATCAGGAAATGAAACGGCCGGTTCACTTTGATGATGGGAGGCATGGAATAAGCTATAATTTCCGACAGGGTTCCTGCCACTGCCTCAGTTCCTTTTTCATCCACCTCAATCACTGCTCTTTGTAGAACCTGGAAAAGGAAGTCAAGTGGAAGGCCGTGTGGGTGGCAGTCACGAGGAGGGAACTGAGCCCCTTGACAGCTTTTGCTGTGGCCCTACCTACAGGGCCATGCTCCTGGGAATGAGTGGGATGGGGCTCCTCTGTGCTGAGGGGAGGCATCTGAAGTTGCCCAGGGACTTGCCTTAGAAGCTCAAATACCAGGAGACACCAGGACAGGACTCCAAATGGGAAACACGGGCCAACCCCTGCACGCATGCGTCAGATCAGCGCGGCCTGTGCTGCTGATCCTTGGGCACAGCTGGTGCTCCTCGGGAAGGTGCTCACGCTGCCTGGAGCCCCAAACACTCTGGCCTTTCCTCTGACGGGCCAGCTGGGTGAAAGGTGTGGCTAGTCTGCGGCAGCTTTCCGGCACCTGGTGCGGCTCTGAGTCCTGGGCAAGTGCTGGGGTCCCTGAGGACTTCCGGACCCTGGTTGCCTGTACTCAGGCCACCTGTCCTGGCTGGGAGGCCCTTTTGTCCAGGCACCTCATGTTAAGCGGGTGATGGACCCACCTAATTATTATAAGAGATCAAGGAAGCATCAGTGTAGTAGCTCCTGGGCGTTCCCTAAAGTCCTGGAGTGGAAGTTCCCCTCCAGGAGCAAACAGAGGGAGGACAGTTAGTGGTCTGCCACTTAAACTATAAAGAGCACACGGTGTCACCATGCCGTGTCTGCAGCAGAAAGCCTTACAGGTGCTGGTCTGCGGGGCTGCCCTGCTTATTCCTTTCATCTCCCGAGACGAAGGCCTGGCTGTAGGCCTGCTCACCCTGCTGAGTCCTGCTCAGGGGGCTGCCATTTTAAATCTCCCTTGGAACGAGAAAATGGGAAAATAGTAGTCAAACCCCTCAGCTAAGAAGGAGCAGGGGAAGATGTAGCTGCCGCTTGGAAATGTCAGAACATTTTCTCAGTCGTAATAATGAGGGGGTTACTGTTGGCATCAGTGAGCGGCCAGGAGTGGTAGGCAGCTCCCCGCCATGTCCTGGGCTGCTCCGACCACAGGTAACAGGCCTGGCTCCCCTTGAAACCAGCAGGTTCCCACTGAGACAGCAGAGGAGCTGAGGGGATTCCTGTGGGAGGTGACTAATCTTTAGAGGCAGAACAAGGGCCCAAGAGTATGAGTTAGTGGGAG